TTTTTTTTTTTTTTTTTAAGACGGAGTCTTGCTCTGTCACCAGGCTGCAGTGCAGTGGCACAATCTCAGCTCACTGCAACCTCCACCTCCTGGGTTCAAGTGATTTTTCCACCTCAGCCTCTCGAGTAGCTGTGACCACAGGCGCATGCCACCACACCCGGCTAATTTTTTGTATTTTTAGTAGAGACGGGGTTTCACCATGTTCGTCAGGATGGTCTCAATCTCTTGACCTCGTGATCCGCCAGCCTCAGCCTCCCAAAGTGCTGGGATCACAGGCATGAGCCACCGCGCCCGGCCCCATTTATTTATTATTTACTTATTTTTATATAGACAGAATCTGGCTTTGTTGCTCAGTCTGGTCTCTAACTCCTGACTTCAGGCAATATTCCTGACTCTGCCTCCCAGTACTGAGATTGCAGGCATGAGCCACTGTACACGCCATTTCAAAAGAGAGCAAAGAGACATGTTTTGGGATGAAATATTTTGATTTCCTTTTTTATCTCGCATGTGATGTTATACTAGCAATGGTGGAATTTTGCTCGTCTCTTTTGTCGGGTTTTATTTTTTTTTTTGAGACAGAATCTCACTCTGTTGCTCAGGTTAAGGTGCAGTAGCACAATTTCAGCTCACTGCAACCTTGGTCTCCTGGGGTCAAGCGATTCTCCTGCATAAGTCTCCTGAGTAGCTGGGGTTACAGGCTTGCAGTACCGTGCCCTGCTGATTTTTGTATTTTCGGTAAAGACAGGGTTTTACTATGTTGGCCAGGCTGGTCTCAAACCCCTGATCCGCCTGCCTCAACCACCTAAACAGCTAGGATTACAGCCTGTAGCCAATGCACCCAGCCTCATTTGTCAGTCTTAACATCTCTGTTTTATTTTATTCATTTTATTTATTTTTATTTTATGAGACAATCTCACTCTGTCTCTCACACTGCAGTGCAGTGACAGGATCTCAACTCGCTGCAAACTCTGCCTTGTGAATCCAAGCAATTCTCCTGCCTCAGCCTCCTGGGATTACAGGCACATGCCACGACATCTGGCTAATATTTGTATTCTTAGTACAGATGGGATTTCACCATGTTGGGCAGGCTGATCTGTAACTCTTTTGTTGTTGTTTTAGGCTTTTTTTTTTTTTTTTTTTTTGGGATTACAGGCTTGAGCCACCGCGCCCGGCCTTTTTTTTTTTTTTTTTTTTAAATGGAGTCTGCCTCTTTTGCCCAGGCTGGAGTGCAGTGGTGTGATCTCCACTCACTACAACCTCCACCTCCCAGGTTCAAGCAATGCTCCTGCCTCAGCCCCCACGAGCAGCTGGGACTACAGGCACGTGCCACCACGCCCATCTAATTTTTGTGTTTTTAGTAGTGATGGGATATCACCATATTGGCCAGGTTGGTCTCGAACTCCTGACCCTGTGATCCACCCACCTCAGCCTCCCAAAGTGCTAGTATTACAGGTGTGAGCTACCACTCCTGGCCCGTTTTTGGTTTTTCTGAGATGGAGTTTCGCTCTTATTGTCCAGGCTGGAATGCAATAGCGCAATGGCATGATCTCGGCTCACCACAACCTCCGCCTCCCGGGTTCAAGTGATTCTCCTGCCTCAGCATCCCAAGTAGCTGAGATTACAGGCAACCACCACCATGCCCAGCTAATTTTGTATTTTTTTAGTAGAGACAGGGTTTCTCCATCTTGGTCAGGGTGGTCTCGAACTCCCAATCTCAGGTGATCTGCCTGCCTCAACCTCCCAAAGTGCTGGGATTACAGGACTAAGCCACCCCACACAGCCTAAAATTTTATTTTCTACAGCTTCAATATCCAGAAATGAGATTGCTGGATTTTTTGTCTCTGAATTAAGCACGAAATTTCCCAACCTGTGTCCCAAGAGTTGCTTTTACAATCCCACTGATTTGTTGATCTAGTACTTAGAAATCTTCAGCTAGATCTTGGCAGGGCATGGTGGCTCACGCCTGTAATCCCAGCACTTCAGGAGGCCGTGGCAGGCGGACACCTGAAATTGGGAGTTTGAGACCAGTCTGACCAACATGGAGAAACCCCATCTCTACTAAAAATACAAAATTAGCCGGGCGTGGTGGCTCATGCCTGTAATCCCAGCTACTCAGGAGGCTGAGTCAGGAGAATTGCTTGAATCCAGGAGACTGAGGTTGTGGTGAGCCAAGATTGCACCACTGCACTCCAGCCTGGGCAACAAGAGCAAAAACTGTGTCAAAAAAGAGAAAGAGGCCAGGCGCGGTGGCTCACGCCTGTAATCCCAGCACTTTGGGAGGCTGAGGCAGATGGATCACGAGGTCAAGAGATGGAGACCATCCTGGTCAACATGGTGAAACCCCGTCTCTACTGGAAATACAAAAAACTAGCTGGGCATGGTGGCGCGTGCCTGTAATTCCAGCTACTCAGGAGGCTGAGGCAGGAGAATTGCCTGAACCCAGGAGGCGGAGGTTGCGGTGAGCCGAGATGGCGCCATTGCACTCCACAGCCTGGGTAACAAGCGAAACTCCGTCTCAAAAAAAAAAAAAAAAGAGAGAAAGAAATCTTCATTAAGACCAGGTGCGGTGGCTCATGCCTGTAATCCCAGCCCTTTGGGATGCCAAGGAGGGCGATCACCTGACAGCAGGAGTTCAAGACCAGCCTGGCCAACATGGTTAAACCCTGTCTCTAAAATAAAATAAAATAAAAAAGAAACCTTGTCTCTACTAAAAATACAAAAATTATAGCCAAATATGGTGGCGGGTGCCTGTAATCCCAGCTACTCAGGAGGTTCAGGCAGGAGAATAGCTTGAACCCAGGAGGTGGGCAGTGAGCCAAGATCATGCCATTGCACTCCAACCTGGGCAACAGAGCAAGACTCTGTCTCAAAAAAAAAAAAAAAAACCTAAGAAAATTAGTCAGGCATGGTGGCAGGTGCCTGTAATCCCAGCTACTTGGGAGGCAGAGGCTAGAGAATCGCTTGAACCCAGGAGGCAGAGGGTTGCAGTGATCAGATCATGCCATTGCACTCCAGCCTGGGTGATAAGAGCAAAACTCCATCTCAAAAAATATATATAAAAATAAAAGAACCGGGCGCGGTGGCTCAAGCCTGCAATCCCAGCACTTTGGGAGGCCGAGGCGGGTGGATCACGAGGTCAAGAGGTCGAGACCATCCTAGTCAACATGGTGAAACCCCGTCTCTACTAAAAATACAAAACATTAGCTGGGCATGGTGGCGCGTGCCTGTAATCCCAGCTACTGAGGAGGTTGAGGCAGGAGAATTGCCTGAACCCAGGAGGCGGAGGTTGCAGTGAGCCGAGATCGTGCCATTGCACTCCAGCCTGGGTAACAAGAGTAAAACT